TGTGTGTCAACCCACAAATGTTGTGGTACAGCTTGTTTTGATTTGGTTCAATGTTGAACCACAACATTTGCGGGTTGTCACACAAGAGACTATGGCATGGGAAGTCATATACTTGGTATTAGAGATAGAAACAGGAAATAAACAGTGAAAGCTAAAGCTGGTTGGCTAACAATAGTCGTGATTCAAGGATCACGTTTATGATCAAACACGTCTATTGTTAGTCAAACAGCTTTATTCCCCACCGCGTCTTTCCTGTTTCTACCTGTAATACCATGTCAATCGCTTCCTATGTACTAGTCTTTTGTGTTCCAACCCACAAATTTCGTGATTCTACTTGTTTTAATTAGGCTCACTGAAGAAATATCCTCTGCTTCTGATTCTTCTTTTCTTATCCCCTTGCGATCTCTTTTCTTAAAATTAAGGATATTACCTTGTTCCAGTCGTCTTGTTTTTGCTGATCTTTCTGTTGCCTGGTCTTCTTCGAGTTTGTTTAGGCAATATTCAAAGTTTTCGCTGATCCTGCCTTCTTCAATTCTCCTGTTCATTAGATTTCTCCCAGTCAGTATATTAATGGCCTCTCGGATCTTGCGTTTTCTTGTATTTTCACCATATCCAGCCAACCTATCGGGCCATGTATATGGCAAATTCTTTTCCTTTTTGGATGCAGACGATCATACTCCTTTTGACAACCGAATCTACATTTTATTTTATTCTCCTCTAATTTTGCTATCAATCTCACATGTCTAGATCTCTGCCTCCGCATTCACCGACAGAATAACCAAGGCCTCCTAGCTTCCTAAACACTTCTTGATCATATGTATCTTCCTTTATTTTCTCTACCTACACAAAATTTTTCATTGGATCCATATTTTTAGTTAATAACAACTCTTCTGTATTTCAAGATAACAAATATATGTGCCAAAAGTAAACTTCTTCATTTATAGTTCCTTCAGTCCTCTTAATATTCAAAAAAGCATATATCCTTCACTATAGAATTTTAATTTTTTTGTTAACTATTTGGGTCCTCCGTATACTTCTTCAAGACTGGTTGTTTTGCTAACTAGTATCAATCTTTAACTCTCACTAATAGCATTTGAACCTAATTTATATATTTTACAAGTTCATATCAATAGCTGAAGTACATAGCATCATTATAATCTTGTTACAAAATATATTATCTTCAGATGGTAAATCTTCCATATATTGTGAAAATGCATGCTGGTACGGAGCTCTTTTTGTATACCCGTTGTTAACACATTTGAACATAACCTAAAGGGAATCTCACTTTCTAATTTTTTTTAATTCCTGTAATCTTTCCCTTTTTCTTAACCAGAAAAACTTGAAGGCACTATATCCTCTCGCTTACGCCCACTTGATTCAGTCACATCAGAGCCGAACTCATTCTCTTCAGAGGCACAACCTGTTACCTTCCGAGAGCGCCTTCGCTCACCACGCTGCCTGAACCAGCAAAATTCAAACTGTTGGTCATTACCTGTTTCCGGCCCTTCGTCGATAGATCAATCCATTGCTCCCTATGAGAACACTGTAGAAGCTGCATTACCAGCAGTGAGTAGAGGCAGACTCGATAATTCCATGCCTATTATGAACGAGCATTGTCGCCAAAACTGTCTCAGGCTAAATAGCATTCGCAGAACTCGTCTCCAAAGAAAATTAGACGAAGAGGATGGTAAAAAAGACCAGAAAAGTGATAAGGAGGAGGAAAACGATGCTGGCACTGAGGATGATAGTGAGGAAGGAGAGCCTTTGTTTGAACCTCGTCAGCTTCGGCCAAGGAATAACCTCGCTTTGTTACAAGGCAGCAGGCCAACTGACGAGGCACCAATGACCAAGCGCATACGCGGTAACCGAACTCATGCTTCTCATCGACCGATCTCGAGACGTCTCGAAATGGAAAGGAGTAGTGACGATAATGAAGATGAAGATGAGGCTGAAGGTGATGGAGAGGAGGGTGGGCGTCGCTATCCGATGCGACAAAGGCGAAATGTCGATGTCTACCAGGGTGAGTCTTCTTCTCATTAACATTTTCATAATTTGCTGCAGCTAATGAATTCGACTTTATGCCTGCTTAGAAACTGGCTGTCCAACTTAAATACTTTTTTTATCGATCCTTATCTGAACTCAAAAGTTTGCTATTCTTTAATCGAATTTTACACATTAGCGATTATTAAATTTGCTTTTATCGTATAATATCTTTAACTCTATCGTCAATCTAGAAATATAACTGAACATATCAGTTGTCTTGGACAAGAGGATATTTCTTATTTGTCATCTACCTTCAATGCAGTTTGGAAAAAGCAAGGGTTTTTTTATCAATCGGGGATGTATCATGATGATGGTCCTTTTCATACTATCTATCCTTCTCTTAACAATTCAAATAATTAAAATCTTATCAACATTTTGGATCATCTATTTACACTTTCACAGGCTACTATAGTAGCTTTTACCTCGAGCTTCTCTAATTCGATTCGTGTGCTGATTTACAAAGAAATTTACGAAATTGATTTCCATAATGCTTCTGTGATTTTTAGTCTTAGAATCATTTTCGTAGCCTATTGTAAATGCAGGAGGATGCGATCGAACTAGAAGCCACAACATCTTGGTCTTCATATCCATGAAATAACTTTTGCTACTGATCTATGTAGTAGATGAATCTAGGCAATGCTGCCAGGCTTTACGAGTATGGCTTCTCTTATGGGATCATATCTCCTCTATTTGAAGAATATTGTAAAGTTAATATGGATAGCAATGCGGGACTACATTAGCCCTGAGTCTAACAAGCTACTTTTTTAGAATCCCTAATTTTTTCGATTTTAAACCAGCTTTTAGATGTATTGAGGTATAATAAAAACCCGAGATTATATGGATTCCCGTATGTGCTCAGACCAAAACTTCCTCTGATTTGCTTGGAAAGGTAGTAGAATATATCTTATAAGCTCGGGTTTATGCTCGCCTTCAATGTCTGGACTTTTTCAAACAAAAATATTTAATACACATTTTAGGACAGCTTAGTGAGACGAGATAATCGAAATGTTTCGTTTCCTGGTTTCTGAACCAGGAAAGATCTCTAGACCAATTTCAAGTCTAAAAATAAATGAAACTACCAAACGACCAAGTCCTTTATATAACTTATTCCCTTATAAGACTTCTCTCCTTACACGCAGTGGCTAGTATACAGTATTATCATTTTGATTCCCAATCTGGAAACTAAGTTTTGGAAAAGTTCGTTAAAATCCCTTAACAATACGTGTTTCTGTAATATGTCGATCTCGATCAAAAGATCTGATAAGACGTCATCTTCATTAGAATAGCCTCTCTTTGGTTACTAGCCCCTCACACTTGACAGTCTACCACAGTAAATAAAGGATAGCCAAGTACTGCTTGTAATTTACCTTTTAA